GCCCAAGCAATAAAATTCTTGCTCCAAAACTGACGTTTGCTTACTTCGCAAAATATTACGAAAGTTCCTCCTTCAGGTAGGTCAGAAATAGAACAGCTCACAAAATCTATTTGATTCATAATTGTTCGTAATTGGATTAGATTTTCCTGCAAATGTATTTGAATCACCACCTGTGAGTTTTCCACAGGTGGTGATTCAAATGTATTTGAATCACCACCTGTGAGTGATCTCTTTTCGTTATTCCTTGCAGACGTTATATGTTGTCTAACGTGATGCCACTTTCCGTGCTTTATGACAGCTTTCAGTTATTATTGGACGTAGGCCTTCATGATGTCTAACGCGATCAAAATTTCAGTTTATCGTGAATTCTTCAGGAGATTAAACTGCTTATGCAACTTTTTTACAACTGCTCAAGTTTTCGTACATTATATGATTTTCTGTGTGTTGCTACTGTTTCCTGGATTCCTGGTAGACACAGCGACGTACGTTTAGGCTTTCATAAGTGATACGACTTTGCGTGTAATGTGAACTCTCCTTGTTATTACTTGCAGACAGTGGCATTCATGTTATCGTACGTGGTGGTGACCATCCAGTTCCGTGACCCCACGAAGGAAGAGTGACACGACGGCACTTCATCGCCTCCTGCAACATCGCCTCACTCGTTCGTTTTCATAGCTTGGAAGTTTTATTATGATACTTCATTCATCTCCCTCATTTTATGAAAAGGAATTGCTTAGAGCCAAACACCAGTATTTGGAGGAGCATTTATGAAACATTTTAATTTTTTGTACCATCGATAGATTGAGAATCTTTAATTTTTGTCAATATTTTCACACGTAAGCATATTAAAGCAGCTCCCGGCCACGGTTGATTTGCAGTAAATCTCATGTACTTCGTGCGGAGTCAATACAAAGCAAGGCTCGTTGCTTGATGTCGCGAGGACGGGTCGATGTAACAAACATTTACCCTGACGAGTGAACGTTTGTCCTTCCTTATTCCTGATATTGCACATGGAAGCGTAAAATGTTACTCCCTATACTTAACTGTAATAGGTTACAGACCTGCCTATAATTACTTCTTTTGATCTCCCAATTTAATTGCATTGTTTTGTGTCGTTCGGTTAATTTATTTATTCATTTTTGTCTATACTCGGGAATTTTTTGTTATAATTATATCCTGCTGGAACTTTAGCATTAAATGATGTTACACCACTTTGCATATTCACCCTTTGTGATGATGCTGCACTAGACATACGTTAACATTGCGGAACATCCACAGCCTGTGGTCTCGAACTCACAACTCACTGCTTCAATTCCGGTTTGCGTAACCACCCTGCCACCCTGCCCCTGCCGGTTTTCCCACGAACCACCGTTCTGTTCCAGTGATCGGCATATTAGACTTTTCTATCAACTTGAGACTATTGACATTTTGCACTAATAGCAAAAAAATTTTCCGATTGAGAAATAACACGAAATATATGATATGACGAATATTCGTAGCCCTTATTAAGTGTGTAGAAAAACAGCTAAGAACATATGCCGGCATATTGCTGCGACGGTGAAAATGTGACCTGCCTGGCAGATTGGGTGCACGTCACGCTAAATATTTTATTATTTTCAAAACTCACGTTCAGGAAAGAGCTCCGGCCGATGGTGCCAAAGTTACACAACGAAAGTTTGCGGGGCCTCTGCAGCGCGAGGACGATGCCAGTGTTCAGCTGCAATATAAATTGATTATTTCTGTACCGTGATTTGCAATGACGGGTGAAATTTCCGTACCGAATAACATAAAGAACATTTTATCAACTTGTACCGAATCAATTTAAGGCAGCAATAAACCAGCTAAATGATAGCTTCCCTACCTTATTCACTATTTACCTGCCAACGCTGGTCATGAGGTAAGCGGTATATGAACACCCGCAAATTCACCATGAACTCTTCTTCCTGAGAAAGAAATTGAGATTAAATACTGAGTGAATGAAATGCGGTGTGGTGCACAATTTCATAGAGTGTGAATTCATGTATAAACCTATTCATGAAACTGACATACTGCAGGTTCAATATATCAATGCTAAGACAAAATTGTTTCCTTGCAAACCATAAAATCGTGTGACTTGACTGTACAGGAATTTATTCGGCTGTCATCAATTTCAAAAGAGAGTATATTACTTGTGTTCCCTTGTGACTTGTACAATTGCAGGTACTCTTTGAAATGAAGTGAAACATAGAGGTATATTCCTCGACTTTTAATTTATAATTCAAACATTTTGTTCAACTCACAGTGGAACTAGCTTTATTACTGCACAATGAAACAGTTCGGCCTAGACTTGCCAATTAAATGTGTTTCAATCAATGGGCACATGACAATTAAAAACACAAAATAATTTCAGTCGTTTTCGAATCTTCAAGCATGCATGATCAATAATAAAAATCCTGTTCATGTTACGTAAAAAAATTCCTGTTCATGATTACGTAAAGTCGAGTACTCGGTAACCCAAATCACCGAAGTTAATGCAACTCATACAAAAATTATATTGTTTAGTCTAAATTCTAAAAGGTTCGTAAACAGATTTTAAATGCCTAAGTACGTTCATTTCATGCAAGGCTTCATGTCGCAAGCTTGATCAGCACAGTTGATAACGAGATCAAGTGTTCAGCTAAAATATACGCGAAAACGGTACACAATTACAGATCTAATTTTTTAAGAGTTTTTATTATCTAATTATATCGGGTCGAAAACACTTTCACGCAAACCCTGTAGGTTAAAATGTCAACGGTTCTACGTATGAGAGTGTAACAGCACCTTTTTATGTTAACGATTTATGTACTATTATAGAATTAATTCCATTTCATTCACATATACTATATTCACCTGGCTGCCTTTAATAGAATTGAACATTTTCTATAGTATACTTCTATTCCTATCAATTCTTCTAGTGATAAATTGTCTCCTAGCTGCGCGATCCTAACCTATCTAAATTTACGTTCCTGGAAGCGCAAATTAGTTAAATTCCGCAAAATGTAATCAATTCAGATTACATTTTCACATTCTCTCTCTCAGTGTTAAAAAGTCCAGTTAATGATCAACTTGAATATATTAACAATGAAATTTAATGTTACAACGCTTGCTAGAAATCAATGCTGAATTTCTTATTGCTTGGTTATCCTAACTACATCCAATACTGTTATTGTTGTGGAACAGAATTAAGGACAGCAGCGTATAAGAAAGCAATCACAGAGGCAGACTACATTTATTTACTGCCACTTTTCACAATTATCATATTCATTTCGATGTTAGAAACTAAATTAATTTAAAATCAAAATACACACGAGTTATATGTGCAATGGATTGGTTAATGTATATAAAGTAGTGTTCACAATTCCTCCTTTCCGAATTTAAATTTCAGTTCCACATCCAATCAGGGAATCTAATTAAAAATAACCTGTCCTTCAGAAACTTATCCGCCGTTGCCATTGTCGTGAGGAACGCGGATTGTGACGATATAGAAGCGTTTAGATCACAAAATATAACTCTGGATTTAGCGAGACGTGATGAATGAGTATTGAGTTTATAAAGGACGATTAAAAACAACCGCATCTATAAACATTTTACGGATAAATCTCAACTGCAAAAATAAATCTAAATAATTACTGCACTAGATTTAGATTTATTAATAATTATAAATCTAAACTGCAATAAATCTAAATAATTACTGCACGTTGGATAAATCTAAACGTGCAGCCAGTAGTGACTTCTAAAATCTTTTTCAGAAGGACATGGTAAAAAAAGCACTATATCAACAAGGCTGATGGTGATCAAAGGGTTGATGGTGATCACGGCTGATGGTGATAGCGCTGACGGTGCTCTACTTGGCCGCAACGAGCGTGATTGCTCTTGAAGACTCCATCAGCAAAGAAGGATTCCTGCTCCTTTTTGACTATCTGATTTATTATCCGTTCATGCTGCTGTGTTTTGGTTTAATATACACATATCGGTTCTTCATTGGAGTTCTTACAAAAAGATTCATTGAATCATCAGATTTCCTCGCAAAGTTCGGGACTTCTTACGGATCTTTTGGCACTCTTACTGAAGAATACGTCGTGAATGAAATCTATGTCAATCCCATCTCAACTAGTAAAAGGGGAAAACCGCTGACCATAGCAGAGAAAATTCTGAAGGACGTAGAGAATCAAATGGTGCTCATTGACCAAGCGCTGGAACTTTTAGAAGACACTTATTCGTGGGTACTCATCGCCATGTCCATCTGGTACCTAACTGACCTGCTGTTCGCATTTTACTTAGTGATGACTACCTTCGGGTCTATTGGTGTCTCAAACTCAACGATGCACTTCGTGGTTATCGTCGAGGGGATGAGCATACTTTTCTTGATACACAATCCGGCCGACACTTTACTGGAGGCGGTAAGTGAGAAATTCAATCCCATCAGTTACTCATGGTTTTGTTGGAAAATGATTTATCTTAACATTTTCAAGATACACTCAAGAGAGAAAAAATGTGTTTTTAAAGCCGATATCAGCAATGTCATTTTCTAGCAAGGATAGTAATTCCAGGATAATCGGTTACTGGGCGATTATATTTTGAATGTATATGAAATATTTCCTATTATAGTTCTTAGATCTTATTCTTTGCTCTATCGTGTATTTTAATGTTTTTACATACAACTTACAATGAGTAGAGTCACAAACTGGAAAATCAAATCCTTACCGGAGGCTTTTTTACCATTTCACTGCAACGTAAGCTATAAGTAAAGTATTTAAATCAAATTATCCGTAAATTAAATTTTGCATTTACTATTACTTCCAGGAAGAAGATTTTCTCGTACATCTACGAATGTTTATTTGCCACGTGCCAGACGAGGAGCTCACGAGGGTAAGTTTGTGAGTGGCGAATTCGAATTTTTCTACATGACTGGTTATCAGAATTTTTTAACGTATTTATGAACTTATAACATGACTCAATTTACATTTTAGCACTTCGAAAAAAAGTTTCCATCGCTGTGATTTAGACTATATTCGCAAATCGCAAAAAAATATTTTATTTTATATTAAAAAAATTTCCGGAAGAAGTTGGTTCCAATTACCACGGTAAACAATTAATAAGCAGGTACTCTGATTAGTCTGTATTAAATCACCGACATTTCATGTTTCCGCACGAACATTTTGATGTTTATCACTTGCTAAGTCATCAAATATTTGTAATCATACTGTGAAATTTATTTTTATGAGGAGATTTTCAAGCCATTTTATGTTTTCGTATAGCCGAACACCGGCCTCGTCCTGGCAGCTCAGCGTCCGCGGTCGCTGACGCTCGGCAAATTTGGAACCATCGGCCGTAGTTCTTTCCTGAACGTGAGTCTGGTTTAATATCAATAAATTTTAACTTATTCCGATATAATATCAATAATTTTTACCTTATTCCGCTAGTCAAATAATAGCGTTACGCATACAGTTTATTAGCAGGTATCCTCTATGCGACTTTTATTGCTCGCATATTCAATAAAAATTTCAAGGTGGACTATACCACTTCGTCATTTAGTATGATATCAGTGTCCCCAGTAAGTTCTATTTCCAGGCGTTTGATTCTTACCTCATCTAAGAAGAGGAAAAAATAACCGCGAACTAAAAGTAGTGTATTCATGTAGATTTATTTTTCAGGCTTGGCAAACTGATTTTCCTAATAAATAAGAATAATTTAACCATGATAACGGAATTCATGTGTTGCATTTAATTTATGTTTCGATTCTCCATTTTAAAGTAGGATTATAATAGCATCCATCCTGATCTGATTGATAGCAAGCACGATAGAATAGAATAGAAGTGTTGGCGTTGAAGAAATAGGCCCATGGCCTGTTGCCGATTCTTGAACTTTTCGTGACTTGATTCACAAGGGATCCGGCCTTTGGAACCCGATCTTTCCATAGCTGACGATTGATTGAGATAGCTGCTGGACTTATTGCCTGGTGTTTCATCTCATGACAATGTTTCATCTCATGACATGGAGCGTCAAGTGTCACTCTTCCTACATGAGTGAGTAAACTTTTCCTACATAACTGTACATCAGACGCTGGCGTTCATGATGTCGTATGTGGTGACGACCATCCAGTTCTACTACGCCGCGCCTCCCGCCGCACCAACACAGAACGACGACCTCATCAATGCCACCGACTTGTCACCGCCGTTGATGACGAACTCCAACAACAACACAGCTTAAAACCAGAGATAAACTGTTGTAAAATTATGACAATACGATATTACTTAGAAATTCCCTTCCTCTAATTTCTTAGTGTGTTCTGTATAAATTGTCCTTTTATTCTATTAAGATCACTGATTGGCTCCATCGCTTATCAAAAGAAATTTAATGAGAAAAACTGTTTTCACTTCCAGGAAATTTTCTGCGTTCAATAATACAGAATTTCTTTGTTACTTGTATTTTTAAGGCAGATGGCCGAAGTAAGAGCCGTGCAGTTTTTTTATATTAAGGACTGCAACACACACAGATTTTGTTGGATCGGTACTATATACCAATAACAAAGTATTTTCAGCCTATTCAAAGTTTGTACGGAAAATATCACAAAGTATTCAGCACTATAAATTAGCATACTGTAATAACTTTCTCACAAATATATATATATATATATATAGCACTAGACCTTATCAGTATTATAAGCACTATAAACTACAACATCTAGAGTATAGGAATAGCTAGCGTACATGCCCCCTATCAAGTTGCATGAATGCAGTCATTGATGAAGATAGTTCAGTATGTGGCATCACCCATACATGAGGTCCTGACCTAAATCCTGACCTCAAATTCTACGTCTTACATCATATCCGAAGTAAGAGCCGTGCAGTTTTTTTATATTAAGGACTGCAACACACACAGATTTTGTTGGATCGGTACTATATACCAATAACAAAGTATTTTCAGCCTATTCAAAGTTTGTACGGAAAATATCACAAAGTATTCAGCACTATAAATTAGCATACTGTAATAACTTTCTCACAAATATATATATATATATATATAGCACTAGACCTTATCAGTATTATAAGCACTATAAACTACAACATCTAGAGTATAGGAATAGCTAGCGTACATGCCCCCTATCAAGTTGCATGAATGCAGTCATTGATGAAGATAGTTCAGTATGTGGCATCACCCATACATGAGGTCCTGACCTAAATCCTGACCTCAAATTCTACATCTTACATCATAAATGAACTTAAGAAAATTTTTTTGTATTACTCTTATGTAACACAAAGTTCGAGCCGAGAAGCAACATATATGTTCTTAAACCTGTCATTAAAAGTTATTTGTATATATGGGTGTTAATCTTTACAAGGACGACGGCGAGCCATTTTCCCCTTTTCAGTCTTTACCAAAACCTGAGTAAATGTTAACAATCCTTCCGTTCAGCTCCTTCACAAAGCATGAATGATGATGAATAAGCTTAATATTTAAACATATATATAGTTCTATAATTCATCTTAGGATGATTCGTCTTCAGTGAAATACTTTTAGTCCGTTAGCTTTTGGCTGACAGCTAACAATGATTAATGTTCGTGACTACTTGCATGCAGCTTAAGAATTATTATTCAGAGAAACCATCAATGCGTTGAATAAATGAAATGTCTTCACTGGCAGAGTCATTCAACTACAATGAAAAACTCTTCGGTCTCTCTTGAATATTTCGATATTCATAAGCAGACTGCTGAGTATCAATAATTATTATTTCAAATGTTCGCTATTTTACATCCTCTAATTGTCTAAATGTATCTATATTAGATATTGTAGTATTTTTTTGTAGCCTTGGCCTAGATGATGAACGGATATTAATAATGTAGTCGGAATAAGGATGATAATGTTAAAATAATTACTCCTTAAGATAGGTGAGGTTACCATCCATTATATAGCTTTATTCAAATGAAACGATCAACTCATAAACTTATCACTAATAAAATTTCTCACCTATTCCATAGCAGATAAAAACTTGTACAGTTAAAATCGCTCCGCCTAAAATGAAAAACTTCCATCCAGTTTTATTTAATTTTCACCACCTATTATGGCTCTACATGTACTGTATAGGTGCGTTAATTTAGAATATTTCCGTTCCATCAAAGATCAATGTTGATTTGAAGCATCTATTAGAAGTTTGAGGGTCAGTCCTGTAACGGGAACCTTCATGGTTTTCTTCGTAATACCTTAATTTTATTTTTACCATATGTGTTTTTTTTTTGTCAAGACGTTCAAAAAATTATGTTTTATGTAAATGAGAATAGTGAAAACAGAGGATATTAGGTCGTAAGTTGTTTATATGCTTGTCATACTCATATATTTTGTGTAGATATTTTAGAGACATTTTTAGCGGCAGATTTTTGTCTTGCCGAGGAAGTTTAACTTATTTTTGAAATTTATATATTTCAGTAGTCTGAAAATTAGTCTGGAACGTTAGAATAAGTCTCAGCAATAGCAGTATATTCTCAGTGTTGTTCACTCGATGGTTAGTAAAGATACACCAGAAAAGATCTTACTTATTCACTGGGCTCATTTGACCGTCCTTTAATATGATCAACTGACTGAACATCGCACAATATAGGGATGATGAGGTTTTATTTTTGTTTAAATGCGTCCCTAGCTGTCGTACCTGACGATGAAGGCGATTCACTTTTCCTGTTACCTGTACGTCCTCATCCCTAAATATACTTGAAATCTTTTCCTACCCTTTTTTTCTGTGGCGCCATATTTTAGAGTAATTCCGTCACTGGAAGTGTTCATCATTTATCAATGTTCACGGGTGGTTATAACTTCTTGTGTGGCGTTGTCCATGCAGAGGCGCGCACACTGCACAGCGGAGGAGCAAAATGACGTACATGCTTACACAATAAAAAACGCACCTCATTGATTAGTCCGCTTAGCTGTTGCCTGGGCATAATGGCATCTCAATCGCCAGTTGCCAAGTGAGTTAGGGCTCATTTTTATTAAGAAAGATGTGTGTATCCCTGTTATATTCTGAACATTATTTTTTATTATTATATTCTTATTTAGAACATTATTTTATATTATAGGTGAAACGACAACAAATTTTTTTCTTACAACTCATATTATGATCTCATTCTTATAACTAAATACTTTCAATTCAATTATATTGTTCTTTAAAGACTCCATTGACTACAGAACTTTAGTTTTCACAAGCGTATTTATGAAACTTATTTGAAATGTTAGGGACTTTTTCATCCCCATACTACCATAAATAATCAGGGTTCCTAAATTACCTGCCGAATCCACTTCTATTCATTATGTCATTTCAAAGACTCCATTGATTACAGAAGTTTTATTTTTCACATGAGTATTTATGAAACGTTTCTGAAATGATATGGAAACTATCATTCCTATATTCATATAATGGGGATTCACAAATTATCCACCGAATCCATTTATTGTCATTTAATTTGGAATGAATGGACACAATTTTTACCTTCATTTTCACGGTACTTGTAGACTGCAGCTGTGGAAGAACGTTCCAAAGACGTCAAACCGAGCGTTGGGTTTTATTAATGGCACATGCCAAAGTTCTGAAAATCCTGCCTCTCTGACTTATAGAAATAAAGTAGTTCCCGCTTCTAAATAACAAACATTTTCTAAGAGTCATGAGACATTAGAAAACTAAAGATGGGAAACAAAATCATTCAGAAGCCCTGTTTTGTTTTCAGTGTTATCGTCCTTTGTCCGACTGTGCGGACCAGTCAATGTTAGGCACTGCATGGGAGACCAGGCTCGACAGATTCATATATTTCATGTAGTGCGGAGCAGTGGTCGATTCAATTAGTCTTACGTAATGAGCCTCTATGTACATTGTTGCGTGTTGTCCCAATAAACGTTGACTAGTGTTATATAGGAATCAGTACCTGCAGCAGCGCCATACTCATCGGTTATTTAGTTAGTATCCTTAAAATTCTACTTACAAACCTGGTTCTCTATCCCTTGTTTTGATTTAATGTTGTGTCAATTTTCCTTTTTTTTATTGCATACACATAAAAATTGCACATAAAAATATTTGCAAAGGCTTTCACGAGGTTTTCTGGCTGTCCAATGGCCCTCTTGATATTAAGCCAATATTCTACAACAGATACGTTGATGAAATTTTTTAATTTTTATGCGAACTTCTCACGTTAAGCTCTTCTTCGATTACCAAAATTCGCAACATAAATCCCCCAAATTTACCATGAAACTGGAATCTAACAATAGCCTATCCATCCTCGATTACAATATTACTAAATCTACTGGCCGTTTCCAAATTTCTGTGTTTCGAAAATCGACTTTCACAGGTCTCAGTACCAGCTTTTTTAGCTTCTGCTCGTTTCGATTTAAGATTAATGGGATTCAAAAATTTTTACATCGGGGCTTTCGCATTTGTTCTACTTAAAATATTCTGCACGCTGAATTCGAATTTTTACGCAATATCTTTTCGCTTAATGGATATCCGACTAAACTCGTGTTTACCCAAATAAAGAAATTCATGTCCAAGCGTTACAATGAGGTTGCTTCCCAGCGCGACACTAGGAATGTTGTTTATTGCTCTTTTCCATATTTCGGCCCTGTATCCGAACATTTCGGCCCTGCATCGTCAAGGGGGCTAAAACTTTTGTTTTCCAAGTATTTCGTAAACGTTATTCTTCGTATTTTATTGGTCAACAATTTTAAAATCGTTTCTTTTTTAGGTACAAAGATACCCTGTCTATGCCTATGCGAGCGTCCCTAGTTTATAAATACAGTTGTGCACGATGTGCATCTGCGTACTTCGGGATGACGTCTCGCAATCTTTATTCTAGGGTCGCAGAACATAGGTACAGGAGTTGTAGAACTGGTCACTTGGTCACTTATTATCGCGCCCCCCTCATTCGGCTGTACGTGCTCACGCCGAGCAGTGCGATGTTCCAATTTCTGATAGTGACTTCAAGGTTTTAGCTTCCACGTCCGGTGTTTCTGATTTGCGCATTTTAGAATCATTGTATATTTCAAACATAGGCCTAGTTTAAATTTAGCTTTTAGTTCTTACCCGCTTGAAATTGTAAATAGATAGGTGTTTCCGCTTAGTTTTTTTTTGTAATCTTGACTGTACTAATTACTGATTTATCTGTGTTTTAGAACTTTCAAACTGACGATAGAGCTGGACTCCCGAAAAGTTTTCTTTGAAGATACTAGTATGAATTTTTGTGGAGTATTCTTTGCTTCTAAGTTTTTAGTGAATTTGTGATTCATGCAAACGAGTGATATTATTAATTCAAATCGATATATTGAGTTTGACCCATCCCCCCGAACAATGCATACAAATTGACTACGATAAATTACTTAAATTTATTTTGCTTTGCTTAATCACCGACACGCAAGGAAAAGTTCCCGTGAGACCTGCCGGGCACCGCTCTTTTATTCATCAGTATAAGATAAATTCTCCCTCATACTAAGCCGCTCTCTTATTCATCAGTTTTAGTTATTCATACCGTGCCCTCTTTTATTCATCAGTACAAGTTTCTCCTCAAACCACGCCGCTCTTTTATTCGTCAGTATGAGTTCTTTCTCGATCATACCGTGCCGCTCTTTTCATCAGTATAATTTCTTCCTCATACCGTACCGCTTTTTTCATCAGTATATGTTCCTCCTCATACCGTACCGCTCTTTAATTCATTAATGTAAGTTCTACCTCAAACCGTGCCGCTCTTTTATTCGTCAGTATAAGTTCCTCCTCATACCGTGCCGCTCTTTTCATCAGTATAAGTTCCTCTTCATACCGTGCCGCTCTTTTCATCAGTATAAGTTCTTCCTCATACCGTACCGCTTTTTTCATCAGTATAAGTTCCTCCTCATACCATACCGTTCTTTAATTCATAAATGAAAGTTCTTCCTCATACCGTGCCAGTCTCTTATTCAGCAGTATGAGTTCTTCGTCATACTTTGCCGCGCTAAACGATCACATCGCCAGCAGGGCCACAAAGAAACGGCGATCATTGCTCTAAATAAATCAAGCTGTAATGAATGAGTAGCCTGTGTGTCGTTTGAATCATCTTAAATTGTTCTTTTAAAGTTTGTATAGAAATATTCATGTCTCACTGTCGTGTCCGATGGAGTTTTAAACTCTAATAGCTTTCTAAGTGGTCATACCTGGAAGTAGATTTGTAAGTGTCCATTTATATTTGCTTTTTCGTTTTCTCCTCTACGAGTATTTCAATTTTCCAAAATTTATGTTGATGGTATACAGACTGTTCTACTTATTTTATTAGGTTAAACTTATCTTATATAGATGCAGGGCCTAACAAAGTGAGAAGTTAAATGGAATGGTGTGCTTGCTGCCTGGCCAGGTTGCGTGCAAACTGAAGCGGTGCGCTCGAGTTCGTAAGTTCGGACAATGATGATTAAAACATGCAAGGCGAGTCGAGCGTGAATTTGTTCATAGTTACTACCAAGGTGCCGACGCAACAACTGCTACCTTCTCCCTGTACCTTGCAACGTTTAGTGTAGCGCAGCACACAGAAAATTACTCATTTTTATATTTCAGCATTGACCAAGGAAGTCTTTTGAATTCTAGTAAATCAAAGAAGCAGTGCGAGGCTCGGATTCACTTCTACAGAGACTTGAATTTCTATTGGCCACATTTTCCGTTAGCAATGGTGAAACTCGTGGGAGATGCACTTAAAGTTAGCATAACTGCTTTAAAATTTTTTGGGTTTTATTTAGAGCATAGGAACGTAGATGCAATTTTAGCTGCTGATCCAGCTTTGTCACACCCGTATACTGCCGACGAGCATCCAAGCCTTGAGAGCGTCCCGAGCGTCTCACCTGAAGTTGAAGAAACTCGCACCAACAGAAACGAGGAATACAGACCAACGTCAACACTGATTCGCGTTAAAAAAACTGTATGGTACATTTTCATTAACTGCATTTATCTTAGCTGCTGTGCGTATTTCTTCTTCTCACGCGATTACTCTAAGCTCACGCTCACGGAGATATTCGACAACGCTTATCATCTTGTTGCTCCTGTTATGGTTGTTTTTTCTATAATAAAATGCAAGTGGAGTCATAATTCGTTCAATAAACTTTTCAGCGTGCTACGTTTAATATCCGACTCTGATCATTCCCCTGCAGAACGTTGGTACAACTCATCAAATTCGCCACTTCTCATTGGTTTAGTGTTCTCGCGACTTCTGATTTTCTATTATTTAGCTCGCGTCTTTATTGATTGGCGCAAAGACCTTGGACCAACCGTATGGAACTTCATCGATTCACTCTTGTTTATAATACTATTTGTCTTTTCCTTCATCCTGATTTTCACTTTCAATTTCTTCGTTGGAATACTCACCAAAAAGTTTAAGAAAATTTCTTCATGTCTAGTTGCTTCTGTGACGGAAAGTCCTGCATCCTCCTCGCAGTCCGCCATTTCAACTTCAAACGCTGATACGACTTCCAGAAATACAAAACTCGCTGAAAATATAAGAGGAATTGAAGAACAAATTCTTCAGATAGACGAAGCAGTGGGGCTGATAACGGATGTTTATTCTTGGATTCTTATCTTCATGTCTGTTTGGTATCTCTCGGATCTCCTTTTTGGCATTTACTTGTTGATGACGAGTCTGCAGAAGGGAAATCTGGACGTGTTGCTGCACCTGATCGTGATCAGCGAGGCGCTGTGCCTGCTCTTCCTCATCCACAACCCAGCCGACGCTCTGTCTGACGCAGTGAGTGTCTGCGTTTCACTTGTGTAGTAAATAATATGCAGTCGATCTCGATTAAATTTCAGAGCATTAATTTTAATCGATTAATAAAATACAGAAAATTAGATATAGATTAATGGAGCCGGGTTCCAATGAAAACTGTTTACATTGTTGTATATTTCATATTTCAAATAATACAGTTGTATGCTTGCATTAGCTTACTTGATTATATGTATTTCTACTGTTCTTCTTTTTATTGTAAGTGCATAACGAAACTAAGCCTCTGAACAAAAGTGAATGCAGCTAATTTTAAGCTTATCGATTTAATTTTAATTTTTTTAATAATATAAGGCTGTAATATGTACTTCCATGCAGGAAGAAGACTTCATCGTGAAACTGAGGATGGTTGTTTTTCGTTTGCAAAACGAAGCAGTGTCGAAAGTGAGTGCATCTCCATTTTTGGCATCAATCTATTCAGTTTTTTGGAAGTGACATAATATGGATAAAAATTAAAATTGTTTATAAAATTAAATTTTTTTAAAAATGGTTTACACATTACTCGACAGGTTTTAAAATTGTTTATACATTCCTTAAAACTCTCAGAACATGAGACATTACACGATTTACAGAATTATGCTTATGGTATTCTTTTTATCTTATATATGCTTGATAGACCATTTCAATTTGCATGCGCATGAAAACGCCCAAGATAATTAACGTGATGTACAGCTTTTGACTGTCAAGGCTCACCATCACATCTGAGGCAAATTATCATCTAAAATATGTTTTCTTAACAACATAGTTTGCATCAAGCCTTGGTATATTTTGAATATTTACCTTCTCCTAGGCCCTGCAGCAACAAACCGGACTCTTTTTAGCACTGCAACGGCCCCGCAAGTTGACTCTCGGTAATTTCGGCAACATCGGACGAAGTTCCTTCTTGAACGTTAGTATACTATACTCTGCCCATGCAGCAAAATTCATGCCCCTAAACTGAATTTTGCTTCGTTCGCAAAATAATCCGAAAGTTCCTCCTTCAGTTGGGTTAGAAATAGAACATCTCACAAAATCTATTTGTTTTATAATTGTTCGTAATCGGATCAGATTTTCCTCGCAAATGTATCAGAAACACCACCTGTGAGTTTCTTTCAATACGTGTGTTGTGATCTCTGTTCGATATTTCCTTGTATTCGTTATATGTTGTCTAACGTGCTTTGTGACAGCTTCCCGTTATTCTTGGACGTAGGCCTCCCTGTTGACTAACGCGATCAAAATTTCAGTTTATCGTCAATTCTTCAGGAGATTAAACTGCTTTTACGACCGTGCTCAAGTTGTCGTACATGATATGACCTTCTGTATGTTGCGAACTGTTCCCGGTATTCCTGGTAGACACAGCGACGTGTATTCTTTCATACGTGTACGATTTTACGTGCAATGTGAACTCTTCCCGTTATTCCTTGCAGACGGTGGCATTCATGTTATCGTACGTGGTGGTGACCATCCAGTTCCGTGACCCCACGAAGGAAGAGTGATGATACTTCATCGCCTCCTGCAACATCGCATCACTCGTTCGTTTTCATAGATTGGAAGTTTTATGATGATACTTCATTCATCTCCCTCATTTTATAAAAAAGGATTTGCTTAGAGCCAAACACCAGTATTTTGAGAAGTATTTATGAAATACTCTAATTTTTGTACCATCGATAGATTGAGAATCTTCAATTTTTGTCAATATTTTCACACGTAAGCATATCATATCACCTCCCGGCCACGGTTGATTTGCAGTAAATCTCATGAACTTCGTGCGATGCTAATACAAAGCAAGACTCGTTGCTGGATGTCGCGAGGACGGGTCGATGTAGCAAACATTTACCCTGACGAGTGAATGTTAGTCCGTCCTTATTCCTGAAATTGCACATGGAATCGTAAAATGTTACTCCCTATACTTAACTGTACTGCAACATGTCACAGACCTGACTTCTTTCCAGACTTCTTCTTCCAGACTTCTTTTGATTTCTCAATTTAATTGCATTGTTTTGTGTCGTTCGGTTAATTTATTTATTCATTTTTGTCTATACTCGGGAATTTTTTGTTATAATTATATCCTGCTGGAACTTCAGCATTAACTGATGTCACACCACTTTGCATATTCACCCTTTGTCATGATGCTGCACTAGACATGCGTTAATGGAATGGGAATTATTTTCTAAAATTCGAACGTACATGCCAGGTAAGTGCGTTAATTTTTCCAAAACTCAGAAGTGAATATGGAAACAAGATGTAACTGAGTACACTAGCTGTGTATGGAATTTCATACAACATTGTTACTGAGGAAAACAATGAAAATTACAAGGAAAAATTTTCACGATTTATGTAGTCAAATAATAAATCAAAATTAGGGAAAATCAATTAAATATTTCAATCAATGCTAAGACAAAATTTCTTCCCTGCAAACCATAAAATCGCGTGACTTGACTGTGCAGGATTTTGTTCGTCTCTCATCAATTTCTAAAGAGAGTATATTATTTTTGTTCCCTTGTGACTTGTACAATTGCAGGTACTCTTTGAAATTAAGAAAAACATAGCGGTATATTCCCCGACTTTGAATTTATAATTCAAACATTTTGTTCAACTCACAGTGGAACCAGCGTTATTACTGCACAATTAAACAGTTCGGCCTAGACTTGCCAATTAAACGTGTTCCAATCAATTGGAACATAACAATTAAAAGCACACAATAATTTCAGTCGTTTTCGGATCTTCAAGCATGCATGATCAATAAAAAGAATCCTGTTCATGGCTACGTAAACTCGAGTACTCGGTAACCCAAATCATTGATGTTAATGCTACCATACTATCACTCATACAAAAATTATATTGTTTAGTCCAAAAGATCTAATTACAGATCTAACTTTTTTCAGAGACTTTATCATTAAATTATATCGGCACGAAAACACTTGCACGCAAAACCTGTAGGTTAAACTGTCAACGGTTCTACGTGTGAGAGTGTAATAACACCATTTTATGTTAACGATTTATGTACTATCATAGAATTAATTCCATTTCATTCACATATATTATATTTAACCGGCTGCCTTTAATAGAATTGAACGTTTTCTATAGTGTAGTTCTTTTCCTATCAATTCCTCTGCTGGTGGACTTTCTCCTGGCTGCGTCATCCAAACCTATCTCAGTTTACGTTCCTAGGAGCTCAAATTATTTAAATTCCACAAAATGCAATCAATTCAGATTACATTTTTCACACATTTTCTCTCTCAGTGTTAATAAATACAGTTAATGATCAAACTAAATATATTAACGATGAAATTTAATGTTACAACGCTTGCTAGAAATCAATGCTGAATTTCTTATTGCTTGGTTATCCTAACTACATCCAACACTGTTATTGTTGTGGAACTGAAGGAGAGCAGCGTATGAAAAAAGCAATCACAGAGGCAGACTACATTTATTTACAGCCACTTTTCACAATTATCATATTCATCTCGATGTTAGAAACCAAATTAATTTAAAATCAAAATATACACGAGTTATATGTGCAATGGATTGGTTAATGCATAGAGAGTAGTGTTCACAATTCTTCCTTTCAGAATTTAAATTTCAGTTTCACATCCAATCAGGGAATCCAATTAAAAATAACCTCTCCTTCAGAAACTTATCTGCCGTTGCCTTTGGTCGTGATGAACGCGGATTGTAACGTCGTACAAGCGTTTAGTTCACAAAATATTAGTCTGGATATAGCGAGACGTTATGAACGAGTTTTGAGTTTATAAAGGACGATTAAAAACAACCGCATCTACAAGCATTACATGCACGGATAAATTACTGCACGCTGGATAAATCTAAACATGCAGCCAGTTGTGACTTCTAAAATGTTTCTCAGCAGGACATGGTAAAAAAGCACTATATCAACAGGGCTGATGGTGATCATAGGGCTGATGGTTATCAGGGCTGATGGTGATAGCCCTGTATCAACAGGGCTGATGGTGATCACGGCTGATGGTGATAGCACTATATCAACAGGGCTGATGGTGATCATTTATTGCGGATGACGGTGGAGTTCTCTTGAAGTGCCGAGTCATATGAGAGGTTCCCAGCGGCGGGGACTTGGATAATCACCACCACATACGAGAACATGAACGCCAGCGTCTGCAAACATACAGATAACGCAGCGATATTTGCATTCAACTTTTTAGCAAAATCTATTGATGAATGCTGATTGATTGAACCGAGAAATTTATACATACCAATCGTCAGCATCTGCCTGCCGACAAAAAAGTCTGTTTGATCACACTTGAAGCTAACAGGAGAAAGTTAATTTATTATGCTAGTATTTCATGACAAAACATCGAAACTTAATGGGTTAATTACTAATTGCTCTTTATTTGTGGTCCATCCTGCTTCTTAAATATTGGAACAATCCAAGACGGTTTGAATAGAAATAATGAATAATCGAAGACATATAACGTATAAACGAACACGTTTGATATCGTGTGCTACCTCGCTAAAATTGAAAGCAATCTCTGCGCACATTAAGGCACAATATCACATTTGCTGCAGCATTGAAACCTGCAAATTATTCTTAGACAATGCAAGAAATTTTATTCAGTTTTAATTTGAATTGAAGCAATTAATTACTTTTATTTCAAACATAATGGTGATTTCACTAACATGCGACGAAGTAGAGGAAAAATTTCGTCAGTGGATGCCAATCTGTGCGTCGAAATGATTACGGCAATGAAAGTCATATAAAGTTCATAAAAATGAACTCAAGACGCTTATCTAAAAACATTGAATAGTATTCTATAATTTGTCATTATATAACAAGTTTCATCGAGTTAATACCGAATTTAAACAACTCTAACAATATGTATAACGTTAGGGCCTTCAGACCAACTTTAATTAATGAGCATGCAATGTGCTTACAGTTTTGACATTCATAATGACTGAAATTCACAAGGTGTCCAACTCCTAATCCAAAATATACCTTTACTACAAAATGACTATAATTTGATTTAAAACCAGAAACTTTGCAAGGTTACCAATCGCTTGTCCAAAAACGACCTGAACTTTGCAAGGTGACGCTTCTGACCCCTAATAGACCTTAATTTTGTAAAAGAACAACTCGAGACCTAAGTAGTAAATTTACAAGATGACAAGCACCTGACGATAAAATACCTAAACGTGGCCAATCTACCAGCCTCTTACTTAGAAAGACTTGAACTTTTGAGACAGACCCCCAACCAGCCTATTCTATCATGGTGAAACCAGCCTATCATGGTGAAAACGTCCACTCAGAGGTGCTTCCTCGGCATTATACACTCTCTGGTGTGTCTCGTTCGGCATGCGTGTTATCAGTTTCATTACGGATCGCACACTCACTTACCATTTGAAAATTATTACTTACATAATTTAATATTATTAATTGCTATTTCCTGGAGCTGTTTTTTGCTGGTTTATTTATAAATATGTGGCTTATTCAAACTCGAATAAATACAGAAACATCAAAAGCCTCGCTGCATGGATATCCCAGAATGCTGAAATGTTGTTTTTAGTGGCAGGTACTGTACTCTACGTACTATGTGCCTACTCATCACCTACTGTAATATTCATCAAGCAGTGAATTGTCTATTAATTTAATTAAATATAATGTCACTCCAGCCCAGTTGACTTCGATAATCCACTATGTCGTGTGGGCAGAAGTGTTATTCTGAACTCACGCTTAGGAACGAACTGCGGCCGATGGAGCCGAAGTTGCACAGCGACAGCTTGCGGGGCCTTTGCAGGGCGAGGACCAGGCCAGTGTTAGGCTGGAAATAATCTCATTATAGTTGTTATATAGTCCAATATGACGGAATATGTTTTTGTCCACATTATATCGAAGAAGTACAAGATTTATCTAAATATATTTGTGCAACAAAGGAATCAATGCAAAAATCAACGAATATACAATGACTCATCATTGAATAATTCTTCAACTTTTATGCTCAGCTGCAATAGGATAACTCAATAAAAGCCTCGTTAAATTTTTATGAATATTAAATACCTGCAAGCGCTGGTCATCAGGTAAGCGCTGTATGAACATCCGCAAATTTACTATTAACTTTTCCTCCTGGAAAGCAATGTGGGTTACGTGTTTAAATGAAACGTTAATAATTCAACCCTGGGTAATCATCTAGAATTGAATACGTTCCATTTATTCAATTTCTCGGAATTCGATGGGGAGGAGAAAGTTACAATTTTTTCTAAACACGTATATTATGTTGTCGTACACCCAAATATACACAATATTTTAACCTCATATATACATAATTTTATAACCACCCACCGCATCTGTGAGCTCGTCGCCAGGGTTATGCATCAATAGCAAGAAGCAGAGAGCCTCAGTAATGTAGACTACATACTGAGTTATGTCACGTCCACCGTTCTGTTTGGTTATCGCCAGGTAGTAAATTGAAAAGAAAAGGTCAAAAAGGTAACTAACGGACAGAAGAATAAGAATCCACGAATACAA